ACGGAGGGACTAATTCCAGGCATGTCTAGGTGACTCCATGCAAATACGTCGGCATTGTGGGACAAGAAATCCACTAGCTCTTGCTGCTCTTCTCTGGTCAGTCTTATACCTACTCTGGTAGTTCGTTCTGGCCTGGACTGATCGATCTGCACATCCAGAAGGGGCTCCCCGGTCAAGTCGACTGACTCCTCCGCCCTGTTCTGCTCGAGCGGAGGTTCCTGTAATTGCTAGCTGGGGCTTGCTGAACGGACGGGCGCCTTCCCTTTCCCAGCATGCTTTAGTGTGACGGAATAACACTCTTTGGCTGCGACCTGATCCCCCCGAATGTCTATCACTTTATCTCCATCGGGTCCGAGGCACCTCATGACCTGATGCAGAGTTGGGGGTACACCTTGGACTCTGTGAATCCATCCTCTTCCCATCAGGAGATTATACGAGGGGTGAATTTCTACAACCACAAAAGTTTCCATAAGAGCTCGTTCTGCAGCTTGAACTTCCACTTCCACCATCCCGACGGGCTCCACCCTCTTCCCATCGAACCCTAACAAGGGATTTCCAGTGGGCTTGAGCCGCTCTGGTTTAATCTCGAGCCTATCAAATGTGTCCCTCGGCATGACATTCGCACTGCTCCAAGGATCGATCAGAACTCTGCGCACCAAGCAGTCCGCCACTGTTAAACTGACTACCAACGGGTCTTCATGGGGCAGTTGAACACGCTGCAGGTCTGTCCAGTCGAACTTTATCTGCATCGACGGGCTCTGCTGGTGTAGAGTATTCACACTGCTGACCCTTTTCTTCATCTGCGCCTGCCGCAGGCGCGCCCGGAGTAACTAATCTGATTCTTCACTAGGCTCGGGTCGACCATGGATAGCATTGATTATACGAACTGGTTGTGAATTGTGGGAGCTTTGTTTATGACTCCTTTTTATTTGTTCCACCGGTCGATTCTGCTCTATCGCCGAGCCTTGAACATAACTCGCGAACTCCCCTTTAGCTATCAACATCTCCACCTGCCTCCTCAGGTTCCTGCATTCATTAGTTTGATGACCGAAATCGGAATGGAAAACACAATGTTTAGTTTGATCCCTCTGTTCGAGGGGTTGCCTAATTGGCAGTGGTGGATGAAACTTATCTTTGTTCTCCTGATATAGCCTCGCCAGAGTGACCTTCAGCGGAGTAATCAGCTCTTCCTCCCTGGACCTTTTTTCTGCCCTCCAAGAGGTCTGACGTTGCGGCTGAGCCTGCTTCTGCCTGATCTTTGCCTTGGACTTTTCCTCGGTCGACACGAGCGACGCTGTCCGAGCATTAGCTGCCTCCTCTTCTTCTAGGCGCACAAAGCCATCGGCTCTTTCATTGAGTTCATCCATAGTAGTCGGCGTGTTCACTACCAGACTGGTGTGAAACGGAGTTCCACGTGTCATGGCTAACTTGAAGGCTTGAACTGCTGTAGAAGGGTGGCATTCGATCACCATACTCTTAGTGAGATTAAACCTGGTAAGAAAAGCCTGGAGACGTTCATCTTTGTGCTGCCTCATCGTGAATAGACTCGAGATGTCCTTCGGCGGGCGCTTGTTCCCATAGTACTGGCTTATGAACCGATCGCACAGGTTTCTGAAGCTACCAATGGAGCTCCTAGGCAAGTTTTTGAACCAGCTGAGCGCCGGTCCGGCCAGGCTTGTAGGGAAACATTTGCACATTAAAGAGTCATTTTCCGTATTCAGGGCCATTTTCAACTGGATATGGTACACATGATCGATCGGATCGGTTGTTCCGTCAAACAGAATAAAGACTGGCATAGCAAACTTCCTTGGATGCGGGGCATTCAAGATCTCGTCGGTGAATGGTGAATCAACCGTCCGAGCTGCGGATCGGAGAGCTTCATTCTCTCTCTGGAGTCTAGCGGTAGCTCTGTGAGTTACGGTTCTGCCCTCCGAACCGCGATGAGTGATAGTAGCCATGGATGGCCGGTAAGACGGATCGAACGACCGTTCCTCTATGAACTCTCTTTGCCAAGGCGACGCTACTCGACGGCGATCAACCTCTATCACTTCCTCTCGGTCGAACCTTTCCCGATGCGGATCAACGTGAGTCGATCCTTCGTGATCTTCAAATCGACAAACATTTGGCGGCAAATTGTCCATCATCCTTTCATCACGGTGGTGAGCTGACTGATTGTTCTCGTCCTGTTCGCCTTGACGCGCGATATTAGATTGAACACCTCCTTCACCGACCGGAAGTGGATGCGAAACCGCGGGTATTTGCCTATGTTGCATTCCAGCTTTCAATTCTGCATTCTCTTTTTTGAGAGCCTCAATCAAGTTCATCAACTCCTCAAGCTTTGTTTGCTGGACAGCCTCCATCGGATTGGAGCTTTCACCTATCATTATTCCTGAACGGAGTAAAGGCATTAATCTCAAGTTCGCGAGTAGATCTGAGCTTCGTGAGTGGGAATTTTTCAGATCTGGTTTCGAATTCTCCGAATTACGCTCACCGTTTACGAGATCTAAATTGTCTGAACTCTAAATCCGTCAGATCCCGCCACAATCGAACAATTCGTTGTTGCGTAGATCTGAAGCCACTTCTGCCAAAGCTTCAAGAATTGTAATTCCTCCAGAGTAGGTCACAATCGCTCAGATCTGGATCCAAATCCCAAAGATCGAGTCTCGATCAACCGAATTGGTCTGAATCCACTCGATATTCCTCATTGATCAACCAAACTTCCATACGTTTCCCACAGACGGCGCCAATTGAAGATGCAAGAAATTCATTCCCTCTTTCTCTCTCTAGAATTCTTACACTTCAACCAAAAAGATCCTCCTATATTTTCCATTCCTTCCCTTATTTATAGATATTTACAAGATATTTACAAATATTGACTGATTGCTGGATCTAGGCCTGTTCCTCCATAAGTCCTGGTCACCTTTGATGGGCTTACTCGCGTTCGGCCCATATGGCAGTGTCTTTATATGGGCTGACCCAGCTGTACGGACCGGATGTAGTGCTTGCAAGTCAGATCCGGCCCATGTCGTCCTGGGCCTCCTCAGACTCAAAATAAAGTTGTTTGACTTTGTGTAATCTTGCTATATAGTTAGTATAGTGAATAATATGAATGAATCACCCACTCTGTCAATCTTACCAATAGAATTTCATTGGTTGCTGCTCAAATACATTTTAATAATCTCATCCTTTGGAAACTTCTTCTCCGTGGCATTTTTTAAGCAAATTTTGTTTTGCCAATTTTTATTCTTTCTTCTGCTCCTTTTGTTTTCTATCCTGCCATTAACTAATATTCTCACTGTTAAATACAAAAGCAATTCATCTTTGGAACCTACCTTTTTCCTAAAGGAAACCACTAGACAATACCCCTATATAATCTCAGCCTGCGTAATTAATTGTGCCGGTAAGATGTACAGTTCTTTGCATGGTTAATTGTGATAAGCCCAATTCAACTAACAAAAACAACTGTCCAAACCCGTCTACTGACTTCTTTGAACTCGGGTTGACACAACAAAGTATCTCTTTGGAGTGCAGTCCGATGGCACCACAGGGTAAGTGAGAGACTATTTTACGTCCATTCATTGGGAAGTAATCACTTTTTTGTATCGTGACATGTTTTGATGATATTTTGATATAGGATTTGGTTCCACTCCTGTCAAATCTCTCTTTTGAACTTCATAAACTTCAATTTAGTGATTCAACTTCAACTGTGTCATGTGTGAGCATTCACCTAATCAAAAGTAAATAAAAATTAGAGGATAGACACTTTTTTTTAGATTACTTCTTGCGACAGCATAGAAGTGGTATCAGTTCGGGGATTGTAAGCAGCTATTAGTGATATATATGATTGCATTGTTGGTATCCCATGCCCAATTGTATTAAAGTCCACTTAAAAAGGAAATTAGTGTGAACATGTAATTATAGGCAATGAACATTGTGCCCACAATGTACTGTCCCAAGCCCTATTCAACTAACATTAAAAATAAATAAATAATGCGTTTGACACCGTTCCCTTTTCCCCTTTTATTTTTGGCTTTCCCACTATTTCATACGCTTTTTCCCCTTTATTTTTGGCTTTCCCACTATTTCATACGCATACTCCTATCTTTTTTCTCAATGAATATGGATCTTGATTTTGACTTGTACAACATTTTTCAGTGTTATTATTGTTTTGTTCAACCTAAACTCATCCAGTCATCCGCAATGAAAATTAAAAGGGCGGTAATTGGCAACATATATTAATGTACTTTTACTAAAAGTTGTTTTAGACAGACTTCTTTTTCCAACTACTATGTTAATTAATTCATAGATGAGCATGTATAATGTGTTGTCTATACAATCAATTGATGAAATTTTTTTTGAATTTTATATGCAAGTGCACTATACATGTTTAACATTAATTATACTATATACAATAGTTAAATATCATTTTAACAAAATAAAAAAGTGTTATGTTCACATGAAATGAAATGAATTTTTTTTACATTGATTTACCATTAATTATTATATTCCGAAATTATTGTAAAAAATCGCTTTCACATTAACGTGGTCCTTCAGCAATAGATCAAGTCCCCTCTCATTCCAGCAACTGAGCTGATAGACATGCCAAAATATAGAGAGATTTCAAATTAAATTAATCCTAGATAGGATTTCATATCTTCATATCTATATATATATATATATATATATTTATTTATTTATTTATACATCCGACGTAGAGTATCACTCCCCAAAGGCCGACCACTTTCCACCTCTCTTTGTAATTATCTCAATTCATACAAAAAGCAACCGCCATTTTGGCGGGTAGGTATAGCGTGTGCCGGGGTACCACCTCAATAATATGCCCACTCAATAAAAACTTAACAAATAAGTTTGGGAGGAGCTGTTTTTTCGAATGGTAAGACTAATTTCATTTGTATAATAATTTTTCACTCTCCATTTTACGCACTCGGTGTTCATTAGTGGATTGTTTATCAAAAAGAGTATTACCTCCCTCACGACTCTCTCACTCTCCCTTCTACATATCCATATATATATATATACACATACATACAGAAAAAATGTATACAGAGAAAACGGGTTATGGAGAGAGAAAGAAGGAGAAGTTTCTCGTGTCTTTGAGAATCGCAACACGCAGTAGGAGAGATGAAAACCTCCCAAACAAAACTACTCGTAACCAAATGCTTTCTCTTCTCTCTCCTCCTTTCTGCAACTTTCCTCTTGCTTTTCTCTCTCCAGACAAACGCCGGCCCACCACCCTCCGCCGGAGCTGATCTCCGAATCCGGCCCGGCTACTCCTCCTACGAAGCCTACGTACAGAAACAGCTCGACAAAACTTTAAACCCGAAGCTCCGCAAGATATGGACCACCCGAGACTGGGACCGGAAGATCCAAGTCTTCGCTAACTTCTTCCACGGATTGAAACAGAAACAGCTATTGTTCAACGATTCGAAGGCGCTCTGTATCGGGGCCCGAGTCGGGCAGGAGGTGGAAGCGCTGAGGCGGGTCGGAGTGTCGGACTCGGTGGGTATTGATCTTGTGCCGTACCCACCGCTTGTTCTGAAGGGGGACTTCCATCACCAGCCGTTCGATAACGAGACTTTTGATTTCGAGTTCTCGAACGTGTTCGACCATGCGCTGTATCCGAACCAGTTCGTCGGGGAGATCGAACGGACGTTGAAGCCCGGCGGGGTGTGTGTCTTACACGTGGCGTTGTCTAGACGGTCTGATAAGTATTCGGCTAATGATTTGTATAGTGTTACGCCGTTAAAGTCGTTATTTCGCCGGTCGGAGTTGGTTCATGTCCGGACTGTTGATGGATTCGGTTTGGACACCGAAGTAGTTTTCCGGAAACGAATTTGATCCAACGGTCCTGATTGTTGTTCTTTGAAAATTCCTTCTGTTTGTAATAGTTGTGATGATCAAGTGTACGTAGCTGCAGTTTTTACTGCTCATATATAAATAAAATACTCTATTACGTATTTTAGTAGGTGGGTTGGAGAAGGTTCCAACTCTCATCTTGTTTGTTCTGTTTGGTGTATTTGCTTCAATGGCATTTCCAAGTTTCCAATGATACAGTTCTTATCGAATAAATATACATATATAAATGTATAAAATCATCTTTTGTCCTTGCAAGTACAAAGACAAATGTACACATATAAAATCATCTTTTGATTAAACGGAACATGAGGAGTGAGTCCATTAGTATGATTTTGGTCAGAAATATTTTATTTATCAGTTTTTCAATACTTAGTAGAGGGAGCTTCTCACGAGTCTAACCACAGTATTTATTAGAGATTTTAGTCTCGAGATTGATGATCCACAATTTGGAGACTTATCTTTCCTCAACCCACATGGAGACTTGCCTTTATCTACTCATCTTATCTACTTCTAAGTAGTGTTGACATTTAATAGTTAGATGTTATTTTTATTTTTTTTTATATAAACGGATGGACGAGTAGTTTATGGTTTAGGAGTCTTGACATTTCTAAATTGTATTTTGGAGATTTAAATTTATAAAATTTATTTTATAAGAAAAGTTTTATTTTATTAGTAGACTTTCTTTCAACGAATTATTCTCTCTTTTTTTTTTTTTTTATTCTTTTTGTATTTTGTGTTCATTTATTGCCATATTATTTTTTACATCTCCATATTTTTGGGTATGAATTTGGCCAATTTACATATAAAAATTCGAGGTATTATACTAATTCACAAAAATAAAACCACAAAGTTGATATATGTGTTTTGGTGAAATGTTTTTAAAAGTCCGTTGCACCACATTTACAAAGGTAGCAATGAATAATTTTTCCAATTTTACCCTTCAATATTTTGCAAATCACAAATAAGTGGAAAGAAAATTCAAAGTTGTCAAAGACTCGGAATAATGAATAAAAAGTGTTAAAATGACGTAAATGTTCGCATAACAATGCATATGCACAATACAAATAAGCTGTAGCCCAAGTGATATAAGCTTTTACTTAAATAGTGTATCATTGTCTCCTATTAAGTTCTACCCGATCTCGTATTCCTAAGCCATTACTTAGACAGTTTAGTCTGAAGACTGAAAGAAGTATTTGTTGCAACTGTTACTTCAACTGTTGATTCTTCTTTCTCTTGAAGCTAAAAGAGAGAAGCTTTGGCTTGGTTTAGTTTACTTGGAACAATTTATTTATGTTTTTTAGGGTGACACCCTCCTTTCTATTTGTATTTTGCATTAAACTCTCCTTCTTTTTTTTTTTTTTTCTTTTTTTGTCAAAAAATTTCCTTAACTATCCAAGGGAAGTGATTTAGAAAACGAACATTAGTTGAAAGGGAATTGAAATAGAAATTGACTTAAATACTCATTAGACCTATTTGAAAATCTAATTTGTGGGTATCTTAATTTTTTATTATTAAATAAACTAAACGACATCATTTGTAGAAATTAACACTTCTATTTTTTTTTTTTTTATATGTTAACATTTTACTAGATTGTCAAGTGTATTAGTCACATGGAAGAGAGATAGTTTTTTTTTTTTTTTTTTTCAATACAAAAATAAAAAAATAAAAAATCAATAAAAAGAAGAAGAATAAGAAAAACATGTAGGCATAAATAATATAAAAAAATGGAAAAAATTTAGGCATTATTTCTCATAGTATCCCTTTAACAAATTTGTATAAAATGAAACCAATAAAAACCAAATAAACGAATGTACATTATAATTCTAAAAAATATATATATAACAGATAAATTTTAAGAAAAATTTCAGATTTATATAGGTGTAAAGGCTAGATAAAAATACAAATATAGTATAAATAATATTTAAAGGTACATATTATACACACACAAAGGCGGATGTAAAGGTGAGATTGAGCCCACTCCAAATATATATATTTTTTCTATTCTAATTTTTGCCTTGCCCAAAAATAAAATTATTAATAGAATTAGCCTACTCAATCAAGCCCAAATCAATTCAACCACCAAACTAAAATAAAGGCCCAAGCCAAATAAACCCAGGTCCGGCCTTGACCCAAGGCGACAAGCCCATGCATGATGGGTCACCAAAAAAACAAAATATTTTTAGGGCAAATCATTTCAGCCTCCCCAATCGCCCTCCACCTCTATTCTCGTTCTCGACTCTGAACTTGCCCCCTCTCTCTCTCTGCAACAGCAAACTACAAAATCTATAAGAATTAGAAGTTCAAAACCCATAGTTTTCAGTTTATCTATCCCTGCAAGAATCAAAAGTTCAAAACCCATATCAGCATATCATTTCAGATTGTTCAAACAATCAAAACCCATATCTTTCAGTTTCTATCGCCCGCTGTTCCAGTTCGGGTTCGCCGTTCGCGAGCTTCAGCCGTTGGCCCGTTGTCTCTCAACTCTCAAGCTTGCCCCCTCTCTCTCTGCAATTGCTAACTTGTATGTATGGGTTTTGTTTTAATTTTTTTTCTAAATCAACTAATCAAGGTCTGTAATTCTTATTTTGCAAACTAAATCCTATTTGGTGAAATTTTTTATAATATTTTTTAAATAAATATATATATTTTTTTTACAATATAAAGTAACAAAATTTGCATTGCATTTTGAGGTAATCACCGTAATCTACATTTTATTTCAACAAAACAAATATATATATATATATATTTTTTCTATATATATATATATATATATATTTTGTCAATTATGTCTACAAGAAAATTTGAATCTGGGCATGAAAAAAGAAAAAAAAGAATCTGAATTGGATTAGAAATCTGCAGAGATTTAATCTGAAACAATTTTTATCAACTTGCCAAGCTTTTTGAAGATCGAAATCTTTTCAGAACTACAAAAAAAAAAAAAAAATTCATAACAAGAACTTTGACAAGCAAAAGTACTTAATATAGGGTAAAGTTCTAAAGTTTCTTCCTGAAAATTAAAATACTCACAAAAAGCATGCTTTTGAGTGAATTCCATAGTGTTGGAAGGGGCTAGCCATGAGCTACCTCACACACTGCTTCTGTAGATTCTCAAATAGGATTAGTAAATTGGTCAAAAGAAGAGATAGGGTATTGAGTGGTGAATTGTTCAGAAATAAATTGGTAATTTTTTTTTATTAATTACCCAAATAGGATTTTATATGCCTTAATCAGTCAATTGTCTAAAGAAACATTGTTAGTTAACTAAACTTGAATTAAGCAACAGTTGATTGTGGTCAATATATTTCGATTTAGCCCACCCCATTGAGAAATCTTGGATGTTTTGTTTCACATAGAAATACAACCTGTGTAATGCACGAAGGACTTTCTGCCATATTTTTATTTTCAAATTTTGGTTTTTGATTTTCTTTTGTTATTAGAATGCAGAATACCAGGATATTGATTTGTTAATTCTGAAGATTATTCCTAAACCGATGCATTGCACTTTGCTATTGGATTAATTTAACATAAGAGCTGAGTATAATATGTTGCTTCTCAAAAAAAAAAAAAAAAAAAAAAAAAAAAAAAAAAGGAAAGAAAAAAAGAAAAAAAGAAAAAAAAAAGAGCTGAATATAATATGTGCTAATCAAATCTATCCATCATAACACCTCTTTTTATGGTTAGGTGTCCAACATTTTGACTGAAAGCATAGTTGGGTTGGGTTGGGTTGATACATGATACAATAGTACTTAGATGGTGGTGTTTTAATTGTTATGAGTGAGATTGTGAAACCTCTTACCTCACAACTTGTGTGTTTTCTTATTTGTAGGGTTAACATCGGGCCTTAACAAGGTTCAAGAAACATGCATCATCAGTCATCAGGTAACAAACTCTAACTTTTTCTAAAATTTTAATTGACATTTTTAGCTATTGGTTGCGTTTATTTATTCATGTTTTACATACTGATTTTTGTTTTTGTTTTTGTTTTTGTTTCTACATACATATATATAATATTGTTATGATGTGATGCTCGAATAATTTATTAATAGGAATTAAAGACTTGAAAGTTTAGTTTTCAATTTCAGAATATATGTTTTACAAGTTTATTTACGCTTTTAAAACTTTTCTTCTTTTGTCCTAATAATATAGGTCTCTTTTCTGAAAGAAGAGAGTTGATGGGAATGGGTGGAGTAGGGAAAAAGAAAACAGGTATGTTTTTTTTGCATAGCTAATTGAATTATATAAATCCCCTTACCATTGCAGCAGTGATGTTGGTTTTAAAATGACCAATTATGATAGGAAGTCTCTTTTCAGTTTATCTTAATCAAATGTACATCTATGCTGATTCTAGATGACGATTCTAGAAGTAGATGTTGATGTCAACATTATGAGGATGTTGATGTCAACGTTGACTATAGTGATGACTACTGATGATGTTGATAATATGTTAATGCACTCAAATTAAATCAAAGCACCTAGAATTGAAGGAAATTTAGAGTTGAAGACATGCTATTGAGCATAGTGTCTAATTCTTTTAGTTACAAGAATCTTTGGTCACTTCACACACGATTTTTCAGTTCCTGAAATTCTGAAACAATGGTGTGTAATATGATTCATCTACTTGGGCTCTCTTCTTTTTCATCTCTCTAAACCTTAATTTTATCTGTGAAAAAGAAAAAGAAGACTCTATGCAATTTTAATTTAACTTTATCACTTTGAGCATTGACAGAGCTTCTAAAATGTTGAAACTAAACAACAAAGAAAAGAGAATCCACCAATAAGAATTACCCAACATAGGACGAAATAAGCTCTCTGAGCGTCTTGACTAATATTAGCATGGGAGACTTTTATAGATATGGACTTGTAAAGAGAGATATATGGTTAGGGGCATAAAAGTGTACAACAACTGTGAATGGATAAAGTTGTGAGCTTTTGGCTTGTTTCATGCATCGGATCTAGGAAGTGTACAACAATGAAATGGAAAGCTCTGATGCACTCAAAGTTATAGACAGAGACAATAATTAATATTATATATTTATAACTTACTTTTGTAATCTAATATGATACTATATATATATATATATATATATATATATATATGTTT